AAGAGGAGTGTGGAGCACATTTGAGAGGACTTTCTTTGATGTGCGCATTTTCAATCCTAAATCGCCTACATATCAAGGAAAGACCATGCCACAGCTCTACACTCTGCACGAGAATGAGAAAAAGAACCAGTACATGAACCGAGTGCTACAATTGGAGAAAGGGTCATTCGTCCCCCTTGTATTTACCACTACAGGAGGAATGGCACCGGAGGCCAAGCGTTTCATAAGGAGACTTGCTGTGTTGATAGCCACCAAGACAAAGGAGGACTACAGCCAGGTGATGTGTAACATCAGGACACGCCTGAGCATGGATATAATGAGGAGTGTGCTAGTAGCAGTTAGAGGTGTACGTGGAAAGGCAAAGAAGGCATGGACTGCCCCTATATCCAATGTCTCCTTCAACCTGATACCTGAGGAGAAGAGCTACGAGGGATAGATGATATCTATTGCTCAGGATTTACGATTGTGCTCTGCCAATTGCATCACTTGATTTAATTAATTGTATATATACTGTTTGACATTTAAAAATATTGATTTACAAACCCGATCCATATTCAGTCAAATACTGCTCGGCCATGACCGAGGAGACTCATTTTTCCGTCATATTGTTTGATACTGCTCGGCCATTGCCGAGGAGACTAATTTTTCCGTTATATTGTTTGATACTGCTCGGCCATGGCCGAGAAGACTCATCGTCGTTATATTGTTTGGTACTGCTCGGCCATGGCCGAGGAGACTCATTTTTCTGTCATATTGTTTGATACTGCTCAGCCATGACCGAGGAGACTCATTTTTCCGTCATATTGTTTGATACTGCTCGGCCATGGCCGAGGAGACTCATTTTTCCGTCATATTGTTTGATACTGCTCGGCCATGGCCGAGGAGACTAATTTTTTCGTCATATTGTTTTTTATTTAAAAAATGAGCCTCCTCGGCCACCATACACTACTACATGTTTTAAAAAAGAACATATTTACAAAAAAAAAATGGCGGGGACACGGAATGGAGAAGAACAACACATCACACGGACGGAAACTGCTGCTGAGTTGTCAAGTATCTGATTATATTAATTATGGGTCTCTTGTTCATTTAAATAAGTACGATCATACTTCTTGTTTCATTGAAATTTCTTGTTTCATTGAACAATTTCGTGTTACGTGACACGTAAAAGATACAAAATATGAATCATGAATGATAGGTTTTCGGATATAACGCGGCGTTATTTTATTATTTTGGCGCAGTATATCACGCTGGATAATGAACAGATAAAGTTGTACAGAGTTTAACTTTCGCACACTACGTTTACACAATATATTTGTAAGTCCGTTCAAGACGCACGCTCCAGACAAGTCCAGACACTAGCGTAAAGTGGCTGAGCTGATCAGTGTTGTGTGTGTAGTATGTAATCTATATGAACTAGTCTGTGTGTTCTTATAAGCACATGCCATTTGCATCAAAGTTGAGTTCTGACCATTCATCAGTGTTTCCAGCTTTTTGAGTATTGAGCAGTTTATTCTTAATGCGACTTTTAACAAGTGCAATTGGGGACGAGAAGTCAATATTACTAGAAGGTTTAAGGAATTTATTCCACATATTCGAGGTTTATATTCAAAAAAATTGGTTGCGGAGGAGTTAATAAAGTAGTTATCACGTCGGGGTGACTTTTGAAATAGATTGTACATCGGTATTTGAGTGTGAAGTTTGATTATTTTAAACATTTCAAGTAGACAGTGGTACTTATACAAATTATGCACGCAAAGTATTGAGTTTCTGCTGAGAAGGGGTTTACTTGATTCTCGTTTATAGAAGTCGGCTCCAAGTTTTTGGGATCCAATTGGGTGGGTTCTAGCACATGTTCTGAACTTATTACTGTACGCCTCTTGATCACCAAATAGAATACTAGTGCACTTTTTTTGAGATTCAAAGAGGGTGTGGTAGAGGTCATTATACAGCTCTTTAGATATAAATCTTCTCATACGGCAGAGTTTACCGACTTCACACTTTAATTTAGAACTAAGATATGCAGTATGAGGTTTCCAGTTAAGGTTTTTGTCTATTATAACGTTGAGGAATTTAGTTTCATCAACACGTTTAATGACTGTGTTATTTAACGTTAAGATAAGATCATTATTGCTAGTACTACTACTACTAGTTACATCCTTCTTTCCTGGTGTAAAGTGAATGTAACAGCATTTCTTGATGTTAATGTGAAGAAGATTGCATTTCATATAATTGTAAACAGAATTCATTATAGCATTAGCTTTTTGGTAGAGATTCTGGACAAATATATTGGTGTCATCAGCGAAAAGTATAGTGTCAAATGCCTTTGATAAGTCAATGAAGATACCTAAAATAAGTTGCTTTTCCCTTATATAGGAGTTTACCTAGTCAACAGAGTAATTAAGGGCGTGGTTTGTTGAGTGACTCTTCCTAAAACCAAACTGGTTCTCAAACAAAACATTCTGCGACACAAGAAAACTGTACAAACTTTCTCAAATAACTTTCCGAACACTGCTAGGGTAGATACTGGCCTATAGTTTTCGAGAAATTCTGTACCGTCTTTTTTGTATATACGGAATAAGTGAATCCAACGGCGAGAAGTTAGAAAACAAAGTTGCTGAAATTCTTGGTGAGATAAACGAGAAACCTTCATTTCGTGACTGTTGTAGAGTTGGTTTGAAGAGAGCCGGCACATTAATACGACCTACTAAACTATCTCTAAATAGCTCTGATATGGTTACTCAGGTGCTGCGAAAAGCGAAACTACTACGCACAAAAGAGGGCTATAAAAGTATCTACATTTGCCCAGACAGATCAGTGGAAGAAAGGAGAGCTTACAAGAAGCTCTGGGAGGAATTGAAAGAGAGGAGGAAAGCAGAGCCTAACAGAGTTCATTTCATAAGGAACAATAAGATTGTCAGCTCTGATAAGAACAGTGTATCAGCCTCGTCTGAAGAAATTTGAACTGTTTCACATTCTTCACCACACATTTATTTTATCACAATTTTGTTTCACACTTTAAAAAATCATATCGGGGCCATGTAATTGTGGGCACGTTTTACTGTGCAGTACCGTGTTTGGTATCCCGTCAGATTTTACAGACGGGGGCAATAATTTATTCGAGTTTATTTCATACGTTGTAATTGCTGTACTCTGTAAAGTTTGAAAAGTATTCAATAAAAAAATATAGGGCTAATTTTACCAATTTTCAGTCGGTCTGGAAAAGTTCCATTCCTCATGTGTTCAGTAAATAAAACTGAGAGGAGTGGGCTTATAATCTTAGACGTTCGTTTGATGACGTGAATAGGGATGTCACTAGCTTTTCCATTCTTGAGCTCGCTAATGATTTTCTCTATTTCTTCTGGTGTACAATCGCTGAGAAATATACTTGAGGTATTTGGCCTTGGTAAGTAGTCCGTAAAGCATTGAATTGAACTTAATCTAATTTGACCGGTTGTACTGTATGATTCATTCAACTTAGGGGCAAGAGATACAAAGTAGTTATTAAATTCGTTAGCTATAATTCTACGCTTCATTATTTTCTCATTATTAATAACGAACGGGGGTTTAATTTCTTGTTTCACTTTGCCGCGTATCTTATTGATTAGTTGCCATGTTTTCTTACTGTCGCCTTGAACTTCATTAAATTTACCCATATTGTACAAAGTTTGAGCCTTTTCACGTATACTTTTGAGTTCTTTTCTATAATATTTATAAGTTAAGTAATCACTAATCACTGCGCTTTTTGTTACATTCTGTGCAGTGACAGAAGCCACCTTTTCTGTCTGTATCACCTAGGTGGCACTTGACTTTGCGAGCTTTGACCCAGTTTTCGTACAGTTCGTGACAGTCTAGTGACTTATTGATGTTATAATTGCTGGTGTAATCCATGGATTGTTTTGCATAATGCGTTTTGTACATTTTGGGGTTTCTAACTTGAAGCATTCGTCAAAAGCGACGTTAAATGTGTCAGCAAAAGAATCAAAACAATTTATTACAGTGTTATCAAGACTATTGGATAGTTTGTCAGTGAACTTATCTACGTTAGAGTTACAGTAGTCATAAAACTGTTTACGTACACTTAATCTTGCAATCGTTCTGGTCAAGGTGTGTGTTGAGTGCTAAGAATATGGGGTGATGATGTGTGATTTTGTCTTTGATTGTGCCATATGTTATGATTTAATGTTCAAGAGTTTAAATTCCCAATAAGTCAGACTGAGCAGGTTGAGCCGTAGTAATACACAGTTCTGAGGTGTTAAAACATTTTCATTACTATCTTCAGTAACATCCTGAATCAGAAACTCGGTTAATATCAGTTCCTACAAAGTGTAACATTGGAAATGAAATGACACAACTAAAAACGATATGAAGGGTCCAAGGCCCTTTGTTACGCCACTAAGGGGGGTGGGGGATGCCAAAAAAATACTCAACCTTTTTTAGGACTAAAAAAAATTATGAGGTAGTTTTTGCTGGCATAACAAGAAAACAAGGTCCCCCTTGACCAAAAGTAAATAAGTCACAACCCCATTTTATTTGTAATCTGATAAGTAGAACCATAGAACTGTAGGCCTCTGTAACTTTAATGGTCAACCATGACTGGTCTATTGTCATATTCATTCCATGATGAATCTATGGTTCTAAAAATCTTGATCTTCAGTTTATAGCTCTGATTAAGATGTATTTTAGCACCCCTCCCCCTCTTCAAAGTAAAAGATAAAATTGGACTAATTAGGTTATTTTAGATGATACGCTGGTAAAATCTCTGAAAAAGTGTGTTTCTTGAGCAAAATTGTCCTGGCACATTCAAACAACACTTTGGATACTATTGTGGTGCCCACTGCCCCCGCAACGCCACTGCATTGCTGTGTAAATTTGATTTTAATTCTTATTCCTATTCTAATTCTTGTGTTTAGTTAACTCATCATTCTGTTTTCAAGAACCACATACTTATGTATGGAATTTTTGATTGATTTTTGATTATTATCAAACTTTATAGGTTGGTCTGAAATTGTCAGACAATGATATGGATACGGAAGTGAGTCACAGGAGGCTGACGCGGGACTTGAAAATTCTTGAACTTCTTTTGGCTGTAAGTAATTTAAGAGATAAATATTGCACATCTTACAAATAGATGCATCAACTGATAATGTTCTTTACATCAGTAATTGATCTGTGAAATGTACTTATTTGTATTACTTACTTTGATACTTTGATGAGGTTTAGTTGGACGGTCAGGGCCATTGCACAATGCACAATGCACATCACCCGACTGGAGGTCTAGTCTAAAAGAGAGTTGCTGCAGACAGCAGTGTAGCCTGCCGCTGGGGGTGTCAGGAACTTGGCCGTTCCTTTGCCATTCAGTCCTAATGCCTTATTTTGAGACTTTTGCCATAAAACTGAAAGCGGCTGCCTTGGAATTTCAAAATGACCAGGGTTAGACCGGGATCGGAATTTTGTCCCGCCGGGACCGGGATGAAACTGAAATCCCGGCCGGGTTCGGAATCAGCTTAATCCTAGTTGACACCGGGACTGGGATTTTCACGATATTTCTATGTTGAAATAGAACATTTTAAGCAACCTTCGTATAAAGGGTCCATTGACCAATCTAATAAATACTAACTACAAGTTGATATCAACATCATTATATATTCGGATGAAGATGAGCCTGAAATCTAATCAATCCTTCGAGTTTCGATTTTCATTTCGATTAGTTTGATTCTTAGTTTCTTAACAGTCGTTTCATTTGTCTAAGTCAAAGTAATAAAGTATGAATTTGAAGCTAAATTGGATTAAAAAGATCGAAATTCTGTTTTAAAAATCCCAGCTCATATCCCAGCCAAAACCGGGACCGGGACACAAATTCCAAATCGTGGTCGAGCTGTGAAAATGACTTTAGTATATTTGTAAAAACTTTTTAAACAATTGTTTTTTTGCAGAGGAGTATTAGCACAGTTCCGTCATGGAAAGAAAATCAAATCTTTGCTGCAGCTGGAGTAACTGATATTGCTGAGGTTCAGAATGGAAACATAAGCTTTAATTCAAGCAATACTACAGGTACATATCCATAGGGTTTCTTACTAAAACATCATCTAATAAAACACAAGTTTGCTATGCTGGGATTTATTGTGATCATTATACTGTATACAAATTTGACGATGAAAATTTTTCGAATAGTTCAGAATCAGGTACATGACGTGTATAGAGGTAAAAAGTGAGTGAGGTGCGAGTATTACTTTTCAAAATCAGGAAAATCTCTTATACAGCAATTTGTCCAAAAAATCCCAGAATTTGCCTATCTAATTGTTAAACCTTCTATGAGGGCAATTCCTAGAATTTCATATCTGAATATTCAGTAAACTTGGTGTAATACATTAAACTTGCAAGTTATTAGATGTGTTAAACAAAATAATTGTATAATCCAATGTTTAAATATACTAATAATCCAACGTTATATATAACGTTGGGTTATTAGTATATTTAAACAGTGTAGTATATATACTACACTGTCGCATAATCAAACCTTAGAGTACCTGAAGGCTGAAAATTTGGCATATTGTGAACAGCTTAATCGCAGTGTTCTTACTCCAAATTTACCACACACAAAATAATTTTAAGCATGTGCCAGATCACACTATTTGCAAAATTTTACTGCACTTATATACAGTTACATCTGTTTAAAAGCAATTATATTTTTAATATTTGTATTTTCAGACAACTGTGCCCCCAAAGTCTTTGTCCATCCAACATTGGTAGAAAATCGTTTACCCGCAATTTCCTTGAGAAATGTTGGCCAAGCCTCCAATTCAGGATCTCTCCCTTTCTCCCATTCTGTAAGTCATTTTTATCAGCAAATATTGCATGTATGTGTGTTTGTTTAGAAACATTGACAATTATTTTAGAGACAATAGTTGGAATTAAAAGATTGGAGATATTTTTGAATTTTATTCACTGAAAGTGAAACCTCTGATCATGAATTAATCCAACCCTCTGCCCACTTTGCAGCATTATTTTTATATTACATATAATCTCATTTTAAAATTATTAGTGTATTTTAAATCAAAGAGCACCTCAGGTGCAAAGAATGGTTGTCTGTACATGTATAATGATTTAAGGCTTGAGCATTCCTCTGTGTCCGTTTATCTTACTCATTTTTATTTCTCTGCCTCATTGTATTTGTGCCATTGTAGCTCATAATCAAAGTATGTATCTCTGTTTCTGTATAATTGTGCTACTTTTTCCAAGTAATATCCCGACAGTTAACTCAAGCTGCAGCCATGAGACTAGCTCTGATGCTAGTCTCATACGGTAGTAACGTTTTTAGACAATCAGTCTTTTTCAAAAGTCCACTGCTTGCCATCACTGAAACAAACTTAAATATAACGTGTCTTCCCGGCTTATTTTCAATAAACATTTACAAGTCTAATGCAAAACGTCACGTGCTTATTGGAACACCAATCAAGAGGCAAAAGCGAGGAAAGTTGGCAAACCTTTCTACTGAATAATATTCATAACATAACACACACAACAAAACTTAGTATTAGTAAACTATCTAAACAGCTCACCACCATCAGCACGCTTATACCCCTCCGTAATACGCTGAACATGCAAGACTCATGCAGCATACCATTTTTAATTGGTTTTGATTCGTCATCTTCCCATGGCCATGGTAGCTAGATCTAAATTGGGCGCAACTGTCCGGCACTATATATATTATATGGATCGAGCCAAATTGTAATGTATGTTTGGTCATTCAAATTATCCTGGTACTGAAAATATGGAAGCTTCTCAGATGACCGAGATGTCAAGCACAACGAGTTTATTCACTAGATCCGTACTATTGTAATCGTACAGAAAGCCCAATTAGGATGTCGATCTTGTAAAGTTGTAAGACACAATCAAGTGATCACTGATTACCCAATCAATTCACCTATTACAATATTACAATGTGTAATAATGGAGTTACCCGCATGTTCTTCAGATCGGTTATATAAAGCAATCTCATGTTGTGGCCCCCAACAATTCAATTTTGTATGTCATCTGTAAAGTTACAAATCTCAAACACGATGGTTTAAATGTTATAAGCCCACACGTTTGCACGCTGACTTATGGGCCACCCTGTATATAATATATTGGCACACAGTGCCGACTGCCGATTAGGTATAAACGTTTAGGTCTACACAATTAAATGTTAGCCGCACAAAACTGTTCTTTTTCTTAAACACCAGTTGAAACAAGGTTTTCAGCTATTTTTAAAGTAGTAATAATCTGTTTTCCCTCTCTTGAGTGGGTCGACAAAGGCGTGGCCGAAACGTCGACAATTATTTGTCTGAAAAACTGAGTGGAGACTCACACTTTGTTTCCAAAAATATCAATTATTATATTTTTAAAGTACTTTATAATTTGATATTTTTACCTCCCTCAGCCTGGACTAACCCAACACTACTCTGAGAACCCCACATTGAACATTAAAATTACAGGAGTACAAGGCTACCAACAACCAGGTTCATATTATCATTTTATACCTACTTTCTATGTTGATATTATGCTTTAAAAACTATTTAATCATGTAGATCTTGATAATGACATCATGTTGCCTTTCGTAACATAAAACACTGGTAGCAAAATCTTCAAAGATGAAATTGAATATTGTGCCCTAGCCCCTAATTTATTCGAATCTTACCAACACAACAACGAATAAGAGAAAGAGCTGAAAGAATAATTAGTGGGGTACAATACAAGGGGATCAAGTTTGTTTCGAGCTTCATATAATACACTATTCTAAATTGATGAAAAATACTTTTTTCAGTTACAAGAATATACTATTGTGACAAATGTGGCTACGGTACCTCATGGGAGAGTGCCCTCAGATCTCATGTAAAACAAATCCACATGAAACTAAAGAAATTTGAATGCCTCGTTTGCGGCTTCACTACTAAGAGAAAAAGGGTATTGATTTTAATTGGTACTCAACAATCAGTTTTAAAATAAGTTATTATCTTATTGCACCAATCAAGCTATTTTCCACCAGACCATTTTACTGTACTACACACCTTTTTGAACACCACAATTTCAGGTTTTGAACGCGCACATGAAGTCTCACAAGGGAGTTTTAACGTATCACTGTTCTCTCCACAAGAAAAAGGAAGACAGAAGAAATCCTTGCCAGTTCACCACCCGATTAAAGAGCCTCTTTGTCTTACACCTCCAGTCCCACAGCACCAAAGCTCTTCATGCTACAAAATTGTTGAAGTGCAGCAAATGCTGGTATTCCACATCAAACCGGAAGATGCTGATACGCCACAAGCACATTTACCACAGCCCCCAAACGAATCTCCCCGTCATTCCAAAAGCTCAGCAGTCCTACATTAGTAACTACTACATGTACCTGCATTATGGGGTGTTCCCCTACCGATGCTCTGACTGCTCCTACGTTACCTCCAGTCAGGAGAAGATGAGTGAACATGTTCAGCGGCACAAGCTCATGTTTCGCTGTCCCGAGTGTCCGTATGTGTGCAACTTCAAAACCAAAATGATATTGCACTTGAGACAACACCAGGCACAGAAGAACACTTTAATTCTCTTCAAGTGCATTTTCTGTGACTATGAAACGAAGCATAAAAATGCGCTGTACACTCACATGCGCACACACACCCACGACCGACCCTATCGGTGCCACATTTGTGACTACAGCGCCATTCAGAAGGTACACCTTGATGCGCACATGTATAAGCATAACGGGGTTCTTCCTTTCAAATGTTCCTTGTGTAAGTACAAGACCGCCACCAAAGCTAGTCTAAAGGCGCACATGTGCAAGCACACGGGAGTTAAACCCTTCCGGTGTGAGCACTGTGACTACAGGAGCGCCAGGAAGGCTGACCTTAAGAAACATGTTTCTATTCGACACAAAAAGGAGTTTAGAGCGCGGTGGGGTTAGCTAGCATGGAGGAGACAATAGCATTACTTCTTTATACAAGCTTCTTGCTTTACTTGAGCTAAGAAACACAAAACAAATGTAAAAGACGATAATATTATGTTCTACTAATGTACTAAATTAACCAATAGTTGAATGTTTGCATCGTAGCTGAATGAATTATATATATTAATATGAGTATCAATTTGCTAGGTTGAAAAAGGTTAACAAATGACCGGACAAAAGATGTATAGCACCCCCCAGAATTCCCACTCTGTCTGACCCACCCCCCCAGAATTCCCACTCTGTCTGACCCACCCCCCTAGAGTTCCCACTCTGTCTGACCCACCATGTAAAGCACCCCCCATAGTTTCCACTATGTCTGACCCACCCCTTTAGAGTTCCCACTCTGTCTGACCCCCCCCCCCCCTAGAGCTCTAGAGTTCCCACTCTGTCTGACCCCCCACCCCCTGAGTTCCCATTCTGTCTGACCCACCATTTCAACGTTTGATTGATTGGTGCTATTTGTATCTTCAGTCCTTTTATTTTGTTATATTCTATAGTATTCTTAACAGCAGTTAGATTGATTTTAACTGCACCATCTTATTTCAATGACAATGATGTTCAAATTACTGAGTAATTCCTGTTGCAGAAAATTTATCGGACCACTATTTCAATATAGTATTCAAGTGTTCGGCAACTTTTCCTCAGTGATATGATCTGCGTTATTAAGCATTATCGTCACTGGCTTCGATCAAAAATGTTTATGTGGTTTGTTAGTTCTAATTACAAACCTCAAAGATGTCCGAAGAAAGGCATTATTTATACTATTGTATGAGATTTCACCTCAAAAACTCAATGTCGTTTAGCATTCAAAAGTGTTGTTTTTGTTGCATTACAAACGTTTGAGAGGAGTACGAGGCCGATAGTCTGTTTTATATGTACTTTTTATACCACTCATTCTAGAGTCTACCTTTAAATGCGGGTGATATAAGAAACTTGATCACTTAAATTGAAAACATGTTTTTAAACTTTATTTAAAGAAGACTGCATTTAAATGTGCCTCTGTCCCAAGTGGCTGAGACATCAAGGTCGGATATATATTTTGTACTAGAGATTTATTAATGCTTTATGCTTTTATGGGTTCTGTTGCCCGAGTGAGGAATGCTGCATGGGAATGCTGAAACTGTATTATTTCTGTAAGGGGTCGTTCACATATTACGTAATCAGGCTAGGGGGAGGGGGTTTTCAAATGATTACGCTAGTGTTATTTTGACACAATAGCTATGTGTAAAACTGATTACGGAGGGGAGGGGGGTTACAAATTGTCCAAAAAGTGATTATACGTAATATGTGAACGATCCCTAATCAAATCCTGGGTTTGGTGTGATGATGTTGAAATAGCTTCGTAATTATTTTAAAATTACCCAATAAACAATTAAATCCAAACACTTGTAAATGGTTCATTATGATTTATGATCAGATACGGGACTGGAGTTTGAAATTCCTTGTGACTTGAAATGAATTTTTGTATGATAATGTGTTATTTCAACATCATTCACGTGCAACGCTAGGACTGCTGATCACTGAGATGACCCAGCACCCGTGTAAGATGATATTGATTATTACAGTTCTTTTGAAGATCACATTTAATGCATTCGTGATTTTCATGGTGTATGTCATAATCTGATCGGTTTTAACTTGATTGTGATACAATCTCTGTTCATAATTAAGAATTGTAAAGTTGAATAAATCAGGATTGATCCAGTCCATTGAACACTCCTGGAATCAGATAGATAGATTGATTTTAGATCTTGGAGATTGAGTTTGTTTGGGCAGAAGTTTTTTTACAATTTTTTTTTCAGAAAAAATTTATATTACACCCTCTTTTTAAATATAGGTAGATTGTTATGAAATATTGCATGAATTGTATTTTGATGGGGTGGGGTTTCACACCTTTTATCAACACTAACACAAACGCACACACACATTTGATATTAGCGGGTTTCGTGTTGGTTTAACTGTTAGTTAATTATGTAATTATGTGCTTTTTGTTTAGAATCTGAAACCATTATAAAAACTTCTATAGGATTGATCATTGTTAGGGCTGAATTAACTCGCCCATAGTAGACTCCTTCTGGGGTAAAGCCGTTCCTTCACAGAGTGACCCTGTGAAGAGTAATAGTATTTAGTAACAAAAGGATAGTGCGTTAAGAAACATTGATGATAACGCAATAGCAAGTACAATTATTCCTTTATCGGTCAATGATCAAAATTTCTGATTTTAACGGTTCTGTATCCAAGAAGAGGCTACTTATGTCTTATACTAATGATTTATTTAAAAACATGATGACCATATAAGGCGATGTTAAAACGTTTACGTTTTTTACAAAAGCCCATTCATCTTGTGGTAGGAACTCAAGAATCAGAAATTAAAAAAATATTATCAAAATGATGAAATTATAAAATCTACTTCGAATTTTGATAAGAGATGTTTGAAAGAGACATTGGACACTGATAGTTATCAATATCAAATAGAGAATGTGTTCGTTATATGGGATTGTTTTACGATCAGTAATTTGAGGTACATCAAAGGTAATTTACATATTTTGGCTCGAAATTTTTAATTGAACATGGTAAAATACACAACCATCTATGACTAGGACTAGCTTCACTTGTCCTACTTTGTTCAATGTGATGGCAGCCCTTCTTCTTAGATTCTGTGCACAAACAATTTATGTTTCTGTGTCATTATACCGCTTACTGTTATATTATAGCATATTCTGTTTGTTTATGTGCATATATTTATATTTTATTTGCACTCAAACAGAGTTCATGCTCTTAATGTTCTCTGTATTTTGCTACTTGGCAGAAAAAGCCCTAAGATACAATTTGCTTGATTTAGTTTAAATGGATAATATTGGTTAGAAGCCGACTTGACCGTTATTGCCTAAGCCAAACATTATTTTTCTTTGTTGTCAAAACTCTGATATCAGTCATGCCAGAAACTAATACTGAAACTTTCTCTAAAAATCTTGCTGGTATTCTAGTATCAGATGGAGCGACTTGACCAAGAAAATCCAAAGATACCTGTTTTAACATTTCAATCTACAAGTCAAATTATGAAAAAAACAAAAAATGTTAGCTTGGGCACATAACGGAGTTGGTTTATTGGATTGTAGAGCATTTATGTGTAAATCTAACATAGAGGTCTCCTACCGGGCTCAAAGTTCAAGGATAACTGAGACTTTGCAATCAATCAAAGTGGCTGTCAAGTCTTTGGCGGATCGTTTACATATTGCGTAAGCTGACGTAAGTAGCATAATATAAGGGGGTTCGGACATTTATAGTGTTATTTCTACGCACAATCTGTTAAAGTGACAGAGGGAGGGGGTTGTGGTTGATAAAAATATGGCTAACGTAATATGTGAACTCTCTAAAGGAGCATTTACCTTTTTGTTCAGTTATCCGAGAATGTATTAGTACGACTGATAGAGACATTGACCTTACCGAACTACTATACATATAATATAATATTGAAATCTTGTTTTGCTAAGATAACGCACATTCAATTCGTGTTACATAAGTTGATTAAAACTATTCACTGTTATTAGGGTATATCGCTTTGGTGACTTATTTCGTAACCACCGCTTGTATTTTAATGGTATGTTTTAAAAATAGAAGATAAGATTTTAACGACATTATAATATATCAGTAACTCCATTCAACATTCTGGAAAGAAGTGGTTGAAAGCCAAGTTTTTACTGATATATATTTCGATTGCAAGTATTTGTTCTAGTTAGGAATTCCTGATTCACCCTGATCACCTAAACTCCACTGTGAGAGGATATGATATATTTTATGTTTTTAATGTTATTGTTGAAGCCAATGGACCAAACATGTAGGTGAAATAAAGTAACAAACTGGTACACAACGAAGTGGTGTGGATAAAATATTGTTTAAATCTAACTAGTGCATGAGTGAGCATGAAATCTTAAAATTACATTTAACCGTTATATAATTATCTTGAAATTACATTTAACCGTTACATAATTACCTTAAAATTTCATCTTACTGTTGCCTAACGTTTCTAATATTGGAGCCCAACTTACGTTATCTACATTACCTAACGTTAAGTTTTATTTGTGCCTGTAAGTTAAATAGAAGATGTGAATGGTAGTGGTGAGGCGAATCATTTTTGACACGTGACAGATATTAACCAATCAGCTTCCAGCAAAACTCAGAATCATTGTCACGTGTCAAAACAACTATGGTTCACCTCTCCACCATGCACACAAAAGTCAAAACTATTATAGAACGATGGGAGTTTTATGACTCAAATTTAAACAAGCATTGAAAATAGGAGAACCACAATTGTGACCCTCATAATAATATGATAAATCGAAAGCACCACAAAGTAATCCTGAGATAAAGTCATATATGCCCTTGTGGAGGTTTTGGCCATCAAGTGGTCTCTACATCTCCTTATATGGGCATCACGTGGTCCCTACATCTCCTTATATAGGCATCACGTGGTCTCTACATCAATATGAACAGTACAGGGAAATTAGTGCACAGAGAATCCTGGTATTTTATACCTGACTATAGATATACACTGAATGGAGTTTGGTTAAAAATAGATGTACAATTTAGTGCAAGCAGAAACCTCAGACCATTATTTGGTTTATAATCTGTTACAATCTTACAGTCCCCACCACATTTTGGCGCTATTGTTATCACGGAGGGTGTACTGTGTTTCACCCCAGTAACATTCCAACAATTGCTTACAAAACATTGGCTAAACAAGGATTACTTTGTAGTGAACGTGTCCCTGGCTCAGTCATATAAAATATACTTGAGAGAGAGGGGCAGCTACATTTTACCACTGAGTTCAACAAGGTTGCGGTGGTGTGGTGTTGGTGCCCCTACAATACAATCCTGTCACGTGACAAACACCTTCCTTATATGGGCATAGACCAGAACTCAAGCTGTGTTACACTGAAATTGATGGTTTTACATAATATGTATATATATATTGTATGGGCTGTGTCGGGGATCACATCGCACTAGCTATTTTAACTGTTACAGTATTAACACGTGCATTCCGATATTTTCTTAAGTGTAACATTGAGTTTTATTGCCTATCTCGTTTCTGACGTCACCAGCTACTAGCTTGGTGCTCATTATTCAACTGTGTCTTGTTGCAGTACGTAAAACAGGCATTCAATTTTAATGACATTCAATCTTAACTACCGAAAGATGGATGATATAGTTATAAGTTATAAGCTTACAGCTCTTAACAAAAGTAAGATTAAATGATCTCAACCAAATTCCCCATTTTTAGTGGATGGAGAATATGTGGTAGTTCAACTTCTACTCTACTCTACTCTACTCTACTCTACTTCTACTCTACTCCCCTTTAAACACATACCACACGATGGTCATGACTACCTTAACCACGGTAACCGTGGTGACTGTCCTGATACTGTCCTACTCTCAGTTAGCCCTAGCTAACACCGAACCTGAAAACCCGGTAAGTAACTTTTACTTGAACTCTTTATTTGGTGGATATTAAATTTGATTATGTACATACTAACAACTTTCCATACACACCACTGTTTCATACACATTACTAAAAATATGATGGCAAAAATCCTTATTTGAAACTGTAATTTGAGTTAACTGGTGAAGTGAACCCTAAAACTATTAATCATGCGACGGAAGATTAAATTATATATAAATACTGTTCCCACTGTGAACATAGAACTACAAGGCCCATCATTATACCAGACTAGTTTAGTCTGACTAGTTTAGTACTGGTTCCGCCCATACGTGACGTCACGGTAACACACATCGAGCACGATTACTGTATTGTCACGGGATATGTGATGTCACGTTATCTGTGACTCTGTGACGTCACGTGATATGTGACGTCACGTGAATTGAGCACTATTACTCAGTTAAACAAAAATTTCAGTTAAACAAAAATTTCAATTTTATGCCATTTATTACAGAGTAAACAAGTTTGCAATAAATCAATTTGATATTTAAAGGAATCCTAATTCAATGTGTAGTATGGTTGTCACTCTTTAAATAGATTAATTACAAGTTGACGGGGCAAAGGAGTGTGCGTGCTGTTCGCTATTGCTCACACCAAACGGCAACCTAGTAAATGTTTTGTATGAACACCGGTCTCCATCACGATACAAAATTAGGATTGTAGAATTTATTGTATAACTTTTACTGCAGTGGAGGGAGCGGTGTGGTGCATTAATAGAGTGACAGCATACTGATTTAGAGTTGTTTTTAACCTGTGAGCATAATGGGTATATTTTTGGACCTAAAGGCTTTAGTATGGCAACTATAAAATTGGTTCTTTTAATCATTTATTAAATATCAGTTTAAAAATATATAAATCTGGAATCTGTTCACACTGTGGACCAGCCCTTTAAAAATACCCTCTTAAATTAAATATTAAAAACGTCTCAATAATAGAAATAGTCATACAATTAAGAAATTTACCAAATTCTTAATATCTACCTAAGAGAAAAATACCTACCCAAGTCAATGTCTACCTGTAATACACTAAATATTAGGTTAAATACATAGGTGGTGGAGTCAGCACACATTTACCAAAATCAAAATTTTTTAATAGGAGGAACCTGTGGGCCGAGAACACAGGATTAAATTTGTTGAAGGGGATTGTTTTCAAATGATAGCTGCATTATGTCATAATCGCTTGAGGTCCATGCTGAATAATTATAAGCACTAGCAGGAACCCGTCTAACCCTAAAATGGTGTCAAGACTCAAGAGACTAAAACAATTATTACCTATTTAATTTGCGTTTTTGACACCACTTGGGGTACCAAATTTTGGGCTCTAAAACTCCTATTTCTTGGCCAATTTTTTATTTTTTCATGCTGATTTGGAGGCCATTAAAGCATTTGACCCAGTCAAAAAAGTTTCAGTTGTATATCTTTTACAGTTTTTGCAGAAATTCGCGTTAAAGTTGATGCCGTGGTGTCAGTAAAATGGCACGGATAAATAAATATATATATATATATATATATCGTCTCGCTTTATATATAGTAAGATGTTGTAGCTTTAGAAGTGCCTTTTTCAGGGGACTTTTAGCAAGGCTAATCTTGTAGGAGTAGTCAAAAAGCTTAAGTTTAGGTGCAATTGTGCTCCAAATTTTGGTGGATCTTGATATAAAGTCATTAGATCTTTAGATGGGTGTTGTGAAATGAGAGTGGTTTCCTTTCTAGAAGATGGCTGATAATGCTGTTGCAGTGATACTGGACACCTTAATTTTAGTATTTACTGTGACACCATACTCCAAAATAATACTGTTATCACTTTCTACTCTCCAAGATCGGTAGGCATTATGAACGTGCGACTAAAAAGAGTAGCGATATTAGTTTCACAGCTCAATTATCACTGTAGCGTCGTAGTAGCGGGTGTTGCTAGGTGTAGCAGGTGTTGCTAGGTGTTGTTAGCTGGTGTTGTTAGGTGTTATCAGTAACAATATTGTTCATAATCTTTGTCTCACGTCTTATTTTGTACTTTATTTTCCTGAGTTCAACGTAGAGGAAAAGAGATGGGAACGGGGGGGGGGGGGGGGGGGGGGGGGGGGGGGGGGAGAGATAGGAATAATTACTGGGGGGGGGGCCAACCATATTAAAGTATATTAAAGTATATCCCCGGGTCAAAATCGGAAAAAATCCTACATTTTAATATACTTTAATATACCTACAATTAGAAGATTTATATTCTTCGTTAAGATTTACATGATCATGATGAACTATATTTTTCACTCAGATTCGCAAGATAAGCCTGTTTTAGGACTAGTACATGAATTTCCATCCAGATTGGTCAAAAATTGGCTGAGCTATGAGCTTTAAAAAATATGCCCATATTTGGGCATACACTTTTGCCCAAATTCGCTTTTGCCCAAATTCGATAAAATTTCAATATTTTTTAATGAGACTAACTCTATGTGAAAGATATAACTCAGTGTTTGTTGAATATAGTGGATACTAAGTAAAAAGACCTCCATGAACAAAATTGGGAAAATTGCACATAATATCTCTGTTCGGAATACTAGCCAAAATGACTTCATTAAAATTGAAATAACTCCATCAGTTTTCAATATTTTTTCAAGAACTTTTTGGAATCGATTAAGAATTGCATTTCAAGCTTATTTTGGGTAACAATTTTTGATGTAGGCCTCCAAGGATAGGGATATATTAAAGTATATTGTAGGTATATTAAAGTATATTAAAGTATATCCCCGGTTCAAAATCGGGAAAAATCCTACATTTTAATATACTTTAATATGGTTGGCCCCCCCCCCATTACTTTTTGTTAACCGATGAAAATGTCGTTAATAGTTGTCATGGTGATTTGTGTGGGAGTGTTCATGTTGGAATACTTGGAATGATTATAATGATTGAAATATTTGACCTCGCGTCTGTTAATGTCATGTAGGAATTTATACAGTGCTCCACAAAACGAGATTATAAAGGACCGCCCATTTCTAAAGACCAGTAATATTGCCTGTTAGTCATACACGTACAACCTAAAACTGGGATAATGACAAAACCTCATAGAATTTACAGCATCTTATCTCCTCGTTTCAATGTTACATTCTTTTCATCAATATTTTGGTGTTATTGTTAGTGTTAGTGTTAAATACATAGTCTATATAATTTCCGAGAATTGGAATAGCTCATGGGACCCATCTAGTGTTATTCTCGAAATTGCATAACACAAAAGCGGCGTACTGTTAATTATACTATATAATCGATGCAATATAATGGAACATAGCTTAGGTAGGTAAGATTGGACACTCTCCAGAATATTGGACACTCCAGAATATGGTTTATTTTTGATGAGGTTTAGTATGAGACCTGCTATATATTTAATATAAGTCACGTGTCCAGCGTCCACTAGACAGTAATACGGTCACATACGATTATCAAACAAGTTACTCCTATTAAATGACAAGAGTGAATATAATAGCCGGTCCTAAACCTCTAGATGACATTACAGTTCAACATTGAATAACCTTTTATATCTTAGCGGTTAAAATAGATTCCCTTATTTCATATTATAACCATTTCGCTCTCCACCCCCATTTCCACCTCCCGATACTTTTACTCATTACAATAATGAACTGTCACACCAGTTGCTATAACAACGTGTGGTCACGTAAACAGTTGTTATGATAACATGACCGCAGGCGCTCTTTTACTCAAATACAAATCTAGGTAAATTTTTCTCTCTAAATTTAGGATGTCATACCCATATAAGGAGTTGTAGAGACCACGTGATGCCCATATAAGGAGTTTTAGAGACCACGTGATGCCCATATAAGGAGTTTTAGAGACCACGTGATGCCCATATAAGGAGTTGTAGAGACCACGTGATGCCCATATAAGGAGTTGTAGAGACCACGTGATGCCCATATATTATATATTTATGTCAGGAGTAACAAAAAAAAGCAGCTACATAATACATATAATTAATTTAACACGTTTTATCACTTCGGGTGTGAAGCTTAATATATTTCTTTAGATCATTTTCAATTTTCACACCTGTTGATTGTTTAACCACACCATCCTTAATTTAACCCTGTACCTGATCTTCAGTGGAAACTGACATGGAAGTTCGCCATGTTGTAGTTACTTTACTAATACTTGAAAAGGTCTCCTCCTAGTCGTTGGAGTGGCCTGATCCACACAGTACACAGTAGCTCCTTTTTCTGATGTGTGAGACCTCTCCAAAGTCCAATGTACCCTGTTTGTTGCTTGATGTTGTGCAGCTTCCATTGTGATATTATCAGCGAGGCCATAATGCTTCATGCTCTCCACCATGTTGTTAGTTGTACCATTATAATAATATGATCATTTACTTGCTCGAAACAGAAACCAAGTGTACTGTACGTTAGTTTAAAAAACAATTAGCACCAAACAGATTGTGTTCAGTGTTACTATTAGTTCTGATTCGCAGATTCTTTCTGTTTTCGTCAGGGGGCGACCAAACATTAGAATAAGTAATTATCTTCTTATCTTATACTGCACGAATTTAACGCTAACATTTTGAACACCTTGTTACACACCATAATATACTCCGAGGCCTTATAATCATGTTTCCAAGAAAGACATATTCAAGCACAAAAACCCAAAATATTTAATTATGCCAAATTTGTATAAAAATGTGCAACCTTTTTTCCAGAAATAAATCCTGTTTCCAAGAAAGACATATATATTCATCATATGTCTTCCAGTTTCAAGTACAGCTGTAGCTAGAAACTTTAGCACCCGAACCATCTTTTAATTTTATAACACTTTTACTCTGTAATTCTCTTTTGTAGTACCCTGTCTCTAGAAAGGCTTATTAATCAGTTCTAGATGATTCATCATTCATCAACCTCGATACCAACAAGTGAACTATTATCATTGTTCATTGTTCATTATGTATGTATCATGAGATATACAAGTAAGATACACACGAGTGTTTCTGATTAA